TTTCGGTACCCAAATGCGAAACAGAAAACTGATAAGGTTAATAAGGTTAATTTTACGAAGAAAATAAACGTAAAAATCAATCACATTTTGCATTTTCCGTGCGGCGATTGATGGGGAACATTTTTTACGAGTAGCACCTGTCACCATTTCATTGCCGGTCATTCCATATTTATAACGACTTAGGAGATTATCGAGTTCTTCACTGCAACCATGTATGAACTCAATTATGTGCCAGCAAAAAATTTATGGAAGCGAACAATACAACACTGACACATTTTATGATTATCTTGATGTTTCAACAGCAACATGAGGACTTACTCGGATGAACAACTCAACTGTGTCGTGTCGTCTAGATCTATTTGACTGCCCTGATACGGATCCATAACAATCTGAAAGTCATCGAGTTTATTCCACATTGACCCGAAAAGAAAATTCACGATTGAATTAAGTCTACTGATAATACCAGTTTAATTTTTCATAAATATTTTCTCAATGACAACCAATGTGTAGATAACGGCAGTATGGAATCATTGATTCAGATTAGATTACATGAAATCTCCTTTCAACATTTTAAAACATTTGAGTATATTCTCAAATTTAACTAATATTCTTGTTAGGTCAAAAAAAAGCAACTCCGCCATAGTGTGGCGGCTCGATTTGACAACGCCCCGCCCACTTGGGGTTCGCTTATGCCGAAATTGTTGAATGAAGGTTCTTGAATAGAGTGAAGATTGTTTGGATACAATGCCTGACTTGAGTAGGTGTTTAACTGGTGACGGCTAACAACACACTAAGTTTACATTCAACGTTCTACACAAGCGATCGTGCACACTGCAACTGAGCGAACAGTGCTAATTCTCATAAGGGTAAATTACCCGCTGGAGGTATTTTGGGGATGTTAGGAGGGTTATTCAGAGGGTCAGCAAGTTAATATTTGTTGTTCTGAAGGGCGCTATTGTCACGGTACTTTTTCACTTACAGCGCCATTGTCAGATATCTAAACGATCGTGACAACACTCTTCTTTATCCTATATTCTATCGCCTTTGTCTCGTCTGCGCCTGAACAAAAGTCAGTCTGAAGTAGTCCTATGAATGAGACACTATCTTAGGCTTGTTGTCACTTTCAACAGTCTTCCAAGATTGCATTCGTGGAAATCATAAATTCATGTAGCAGGGAAAGGGGGGAGGCGAGGGTTGATGACGGCTTGCCAGATTATCGAAGAGGATAAGTTCCATATTATCCAAACCGAAGTCAACGATCTTATGGCGGTATGTCGCATTGAAAAAAAAACTTTTTGAATGTTGAACAAATCAGAGATTTATGGGGAATAAGTTTTAATAACAATACAAAACGTATCACAGAATTAATAGCGATGAACGAATATATCGATAAGTTTTATGAAGATACAGCAAATTTCAACGATACAACTCAATGAAACAACAAATCCAACTTATAAAAATCAGAGTTAACGCAACACGTTCATTATTTGTTCGTTTAAAGGAACTTTTTCGTCTCAAGAAGACGAACGAAAAAGAATAAACTCATTTGATAACAAAGAAAAATTATTATGAAAGTAGTTATGCAATAACAAATGAATAATATCAGAAATAATTAATCCTGATAAAAAATGCTGCACATTCATTCAAAACCCTTTTTCATTTCATATCACCAAATAAATATCACAAATTTATAACACAATCAAAGTAAAGACCATTCTGTCAAGAAAATGACGGCAGCACACGCCGATTCGATATCACTGATTAGTAAAATAAGAATTTAGTGTACTTTCGGTTATCAAAACTCTTGATTTAACATAAATTTTTTAAAGTAAAGCGCCTCTTTATTGCATTTATTCGGTTAATGGGAAGAAAAAATTGAGTTCATAAAAATGATCTTTTCTATGCATTCTAAACAATCTGAAATGAACCGAGTCACGTCACCCCAATATGGTCTGCTATTACAGATCACTTCTGCCCATCCCTGCATCCGCATCCGTATATTTAATTCTTGCGGCATTCCGTCCCGCAATTCTTCCATAAACAACACATTCTAAAAGCGAATTTCCAGCCAGTCTGTTACGACCATGTACTCCGCCTGTCACTTCGCCTGCGGCCAGCAGCCCTTTAAACGGTTTTTGTGCAAAACCATTAAACACATACGCCTGCAATCAAGTGACATAATCAGTCAATTATCACTCTCGTTACAGCCATTACTAAAGCGTAATCAATTGTTGTCTACATTCACTTTGCCAACACTATATTATTCCTGTCCTTAACGTATCACACAAAAAAGCCAATGTTACCAATCGAGTTGAATAAAATATTCATTCAAAAATAATATTGTGTCAGAAATGACAATCTTCGTTCAAAAATAAAAATAAACCATAAAAACTAACTTCTCTGTCGATTTTCAATCCACCCATTGTATAGTGAATGGCTGGAGTTACCTTAGCAACGTACAGAACCGAGTTTGGATCGAAACTCGCCGGGAAGAACACTTTATCGAACTGATCTTTCTGAACAATCGTCACATCAAAACGAAAGCGAATGTTGAAAAACGTAGATTATACGTCGCTAATAAAAATTTTCACAAAGAATTACATAGCAAATCGTCGTATGCAAGTGAAAACCAGTTGCTAACAATATCAGGATGAAACAAGCTACGAATGACAANTTATTCATTGATATGATAACTTCTGCTCACGAGGACTGAAACATGACTTCAATATTTTTCATAATCAAAACGCAAATTTAAAGATCAATGAAAACAGACAAACACCTCCACAAAAGAAGCAAAACAAACAAAATGAAACGAACTTTGTTTGGATCATCCGACTCAACATATTTGTTGTAATCTGCGAAAGTTTTCCTGAGAGTCGCCTCATCAACGTTCATATATTTCGCTAATCCGGTCACATTATCGAATTTCTGAATCAGTACTCATAGCAGTAAGAATAATAATGATAATACCAAAAAATACAACAAAATGAAAAAATATCTCATCAAAATATCACCTTAAAGAATCCCTTAACGAAAGCGTAGAATCCAAAAGCGGCACGCCCAAAATCATCAACGCTTTTATCTGTCATTATCATAAAAGCGACGTGTGCACCTCCGGCTTCAGGATCCTCAGCACAATGATGCAAGATGCGATCCGTCAAATAATCACGATATCCCAACTCGTTCCCGAATCGTTCACCTTTTTCATTCAACTAAGAATACGTTCCATTCATCCGTTTATTTTTATTATCAATATTTACTTTAGCCATTAATGAAACTCATTGCAACAGCTCAATTTTGCTGTTAACAATAAAAATAATTTTATAATCTTTTGGATGCTATCGAGCAGTATCAAAAAAATAATGCGAATCAGTGATTAGATAAGTCTCCAATTCTGCGAAAAGAATTTAAGAATCACTGAATACAATGACAGTAAAAACCAACCAAAATAGCACCTTTACCTCTCAGCGCTTCTGCAGCTAAGAATTTTGTCGTTCCATTCGGTTCTTTTGGATCGATGAATGCAGTTGGATGAATCTTCAAAATATTACAGTTGAATTGAAGAGTACCACATTTATTACTTGTGTTATCATTAAAATAAATTGCTGTCGTGCGTTACCTTATGATTTTAGATATCATTATCACACTGATATCAACATGGAATAGTTATAATATACCTATCAGAGTCACACTTTCAAGAAACTGCAAACAACGGCACAACTGCTCAAAAGATACCTGAACATCACTCATTCCCACCAGAGATGCCCCCATCGCACGGGCCATCTTCACACCTCTGCCAGATGCCCACGGACCATTCGTGGTTGGGAACTTAATCTTATCAGGTGCAAATTCGACCAGTAATGAACCTTGACCACTCTTATCATTGCTATAGCCACCCGTTGCCAGAATCACCGCTTTACCAGATATCTCTTCTAAATTCGAAACGAAACGATATGACTGCATCAAATTGCTTTGAAATTTATGGATGCAATCAAAACGATGAAAACAGCAATTTTGGCACAACAAATGAAAACAGCACAAAAAAATAGCTGAATTAAATTAAGAATCTCAACTAAAATTACGAATTCCAAATCAACAACAATATTTTCTATTCTATTTCATAATTCTATGGCTGATTTCCGTACAGATGAATTCAACTTGTTACTGATGCCTTACATACGACTTCATACCATAGCTGGCAAGCTGTAACCTTCACATAATTGCCTACTGGATGGAAGTAAACATCACGAATAACAAAATTATTCAGATGAAAATCATATTTGAAGAAACGACGCTCCACGAACCGATTTTATTGTTCTCTTTATGCACCCGTACGCCAGTTATAAAATCATTCCACGTTACCAGACCAACCACTTCGGTGTTCAAAAGAATCTTCACCTTCAATGTATATCTTTATTGATTCGTTCATTGGTGATTCATTTCGATGACAAAATTTTGAATTGGCATTATCAATCCGACATCTTTATACATACTGATGACACAANATCTATCAACCTGTGAACACGCTTCACGGAATGCCCTCCAGCAAGTACCACGTCTGAGAGATCTGCACCGTGAGCGGTCAAAAATTCGATTGCATCGTTCGACTGATGTACCTGAAATGAATTCACTTTTACCTTTCAAAAATGAAACTCAAAAAACGGACAGACAATTATTTACGGCGAAATATTCGTTGGATGATATGAAAAGTTCGAATAGAAGGAAACACAGATTGATCGTTCAACTTCAGTGCCTTCATCAAGACCTAATCAAACACTAACCAATTGATCGACGAGAACATGATCATTTTTGTGGGCACCTGCATTCATCGTATCCAAATAAAAGCGATCGGTTGAATCGTTGATGTGATGGATTCGCTGGGCTTCAGTATTGCATGCTGCGATACCACTTGAAGCCTTCAAAACGAACAATGTAACACACGAATAATGTTTATCATCACCTAATTCAATTTCGCTGAGAATATCTTATTCTCCGCAAAATATAAAACAAGTGTCTCTACAAGTGCATTCGTTGATAATTCGAAATAACAAATCAGATATAATAACACTCGGAACGAGTTATAAATGCACATACTTTCGCACTATTTCCACCAACGTTCTTCTCAGCTTCGATCAGAATCACAGAGCCACCTTCATGAACCACCTCAAGTGCAGCGCTTAACCCAGCCAACCCCGCACCAACGACGATCACTGGTTCATCGGTCGATGGATACTGTAAGTTCGTACCACCTGATCCCGAGCCATTTTGGGTGCTGACTGTAGCATGAGTTACCCCACTCGAGTCTACCTATCATTCAATATTCATGTTTCTTTCAACCTTTTTAAATATGATAAATTCTTTCACTTCATTTCCACACATTTTTAAATCTTCACATCCATCATCCCAATTCTAAACTTATCCCGAGAATTAATCAAGTTGAAAATGAGAATTGGAATTAAATGAAAATTTTGGACTGTTGCTCTGAAAAATCAAAATATTTATGAAATAATACGCAAAGTGTGCCAAAAGGTGCAGAAAATGATGCTGAAATGATACATGGTGAAATGAAATGAAATTTGCAAACATCCTGACGAGAAGATGAAAAAAGTCAAAAAAGGAAAAATTCATAATTGGAGATCAAAAAAGCATTTAGCAATTTGAAATCGACTCAATTTTATATAATATATTATGATCTCCTTTCTTCAACTGTCTAATGAGTTCAGGATAAGAGTTGTTCTATAAATAAATCAAAAAAACAACTGAATGTAACGAAAATGAGTACCTTGGAGAGAGTGCCCTCGATCATTGCACAAAGAATGACAACACTGAACACTCCTTCGATCAACATTCCATTTATCACTCTAAACAAAATTGCTGATATTATTTTTGATGCACTTTCTTTATTGTCAACACTGCTATTACCGATACGACACTATTTTTCTTCGCTTTCAACGAAATAAAAATTGATAAAACATCAATAACACGTTCATTTAATCACGTTCACTAGATTAATAAAATAAATTCAAAATGAGTTCCAATGCGTTTTTGTGAATATGCGTTCAACTCACTGCTCAATGGCTTAGCGGTTAAGCTGAACTCTAAGATCGGGATCTGAATGCGATCGATTCAGTGAAAGTAAATTCTTTTATTCACTCACGAACACGTGTTAAACACCAATAAAACCTGCACTAACATCATTCATCCAGACGAACACTAACGCAGTTAAAAACTTAACAGTCTTCAACGTAAACACACCAAACAAATGGAACCGACCTCGGTTAAGCACTGATTCAATTACAAGTAACGTTA